TTGGGGATCTGCAGCCATCTTGAAGATCCAAAGAAAAAACTAAATAAAATGCCATTTGGCGGTCACAAATGAACATTAAACATTTGCGCATCAAATTATCAGATAACTCATAGAGATTTTAATTAAAAGTACAAATTTTGTTTACTTTTGTCTGGGTTCTTTGCCAAAATTGATAATGTTTAACTGTTATACTGAGACTCTGGAATGCTCAAGCGTTTTGATATCATTTGATGTCTTTGAAACAGCTACGTAGCGCGATTACTTTGAGGAACTATTGGGCATGGCATCCTGTTTCAAGGAAAATGGCTGAAACTTCCCGCACCGCAATTATACATTCGAAAATAATGATAATCATTTAATATAATTTGACCAGCTATTATAAAAACTAGAACTTTCATTATTTGTTCTTAATAAAAGAATGTTAAAGCTTATTAAATTAGACGACGTCGTTTATATATTTTCGAATTATGGGATCAAAGTAGACTTGACATCAGATAACATTTCAACATTTTAAATACATCAATTTTTGTTTTCAAAATATGTGCTCTGACTTAACAATTATAAATATTATTTGAAGTATTTAACTATACAAACATAAAAAGTAATAAAAAATGATCACTGACATGATTCGAACCCGTTCACTTTTGATTTTCTTATTCATGAACCCGAACGTTGAAAATTGTAGTACCGAGCTAACCAACTAAGCTATCAGAGATCGCTAATACGCAGAGCTATGAGCGAATGTATTGGATCTAATCGGAATTTTTGCACTTTTTGCTCTATATCTTCGAAACGGCTGCACCTGTCTATACCAAAAACTAATCAATACGTCTATCCATCAATACGAACCGAATGTTTTTTGAACCATACAAATCGGTCGATGAATAAAACTTTGAAAACTTTAGTTTATTTTAAGAGTATTTTTAACTAACACTTTCTGATGTTGTTATTCTTTAGGTTGAATTTTCATTAAATATTATTGAAATAATTAGAAATCGCACATAAAATTTAATGTTTTTGGTCCAAAGCTCAGGTTGCAAAAATATATAATAATTAATATTCTATAAATAACTGACAACGGCAAACTCAAAGTTTATTCTAGTTTTGGCTTTAACAAGTTTACTTCTTAAGGTTAAATCTGTGGAAATCAATCCGATTGCAATCGATGCTGAAGCTGATAAAATACTCCAAGAGAAGATAAAATTTACTCCAAGTGCGTGTACACAGGATTCCATAGCAAATAAGGAGATTCAAATTGCCGAGTTTAATTATGCTGATATTTTTAGGTAAAAAATATATTTGTTCTTGAAAATTTTACCCTTTCGTATCTTGCTTTTAGTTCATTGTACTTCTTATATTCTGTATGTATCCGGCTCATTATGAATAATGCCAAGTAAAACCTCCGTTTACCTCTTTTGTCTCAGCGGAAACTGCCGTTAGTTATAGCATGGGTTGGCGGCTCTAGAATACTGTTATACTCTTTTAATTATACATTTTTGTGAATTTTCTACATGGATAAATCGACTTAAATGATTCGAAAAAAAATTTGATTTGCGTAGGCCGCAAGACGTATTGTACGGTGCAGGAAAAACAAAAAATGGTCATGCATTCATGTTTTAAATTTTTGAAAAAAGTAGGATGCTGTAGACAGAAGTGGATCGCATTTTTATTTTTAATTGGTCAATTTTTGAAAATAAAAATATTTTTTTAATTTTTTTATAGTTGCAAGGCTAAATGCAACACTTTATCATAGCAGATGCTTGCAATTATGTTTGGAAGTATCTCTGTTTTTGCATTGCCTTGTTCTCCAAAAATGTAAGAAGAAGTGGGCCACCCAAATTTTTGCCTGAAAAAACGCTGCTATAAACTACAAATTTTTACCTTGAGAGTTTTCAAATGCGCTAATTACGAATCCGTCAAATTTACAAAGTTCAAAATAGTGGACACGAAATTAAGTTTAAAGATTGAAAAAACCCTCAGTAATAATACTCATTCCCCCTCAGTAATAATACTCATTTAATTTCTAAAAAGAAGGTGTAATAAAGTTGGAATACAATTGCTAAAAAAAACACAAATTATAGGTGTCTGTTTCAATTATAGGTGGAAGGGTCTGTGGCAGTTATCGCACTCGATGGAGTTTTTTCTCATCAGCATTGCCGGCATCAATTTATTGCAAATCATTCAAAAATCTATGTCTTCATTTGAAGAAACTGATGATTTCCTTTTATGCTTTTTTGCACAACTAATTATGAAGTATTGACCTTCTTGTAAACTTTCGCTGGTACTTGCAATTTTTGGCGCTGTGCTGCTTCTGCCGCGACCTTTCTGTTTCAGAGGTTGTAATGATGCGTTTCAAATACAATCTACTAATAACACGCCCTGATATTTATTTATTTTCACTTCATTCATAGCAATAATCAATTTTTCATAATTTACCACTTTTTTAGGAGTTCCTCGTTTTATATAGGAATCATATGGACTTAAATAATGAAAATAAGTAATAAAAGCCTTTGAATAATTGATAACAACACTTCACTGTGCAAAGAACGGCATTACTCAAGCGGCCCATGTCTGTCCACAAATAGTGGCCCACTTCTATCTACACACAAAAACACAATGTAAACAATCAGCAAAAATCATCTTGTACTTCAAAGATTATGTGTCTATATAATAAATTGTATTTTTACTTGAATTTTTCTTGTGAAAATTGGATGATATATCGCGTAAGAGCATACGAGGGTAAAAACTTTTTCGGCAAAATTCTTATCGCGTTTCTCCGTACAGTGCGAAAGTAGGTTTATAACTTCCAAATGCTTTTCAAAATTTAGGAAGTATCAAAATATAATAAATATGTACGTCATTCAACATACATGTTACTAGTCCTATAGTTATTTGGGTGGCCCACTCCAACCTGTGGCCCACGTCTATCCGCACTCTAGTAGTAGCATTTTTTCAGTTTCTTTCTATGTCGAAGTATTTTATTTTCTCTTTGTAGGAGCGCAAGGATACCAAGGATAGCTCAATTGCTCACTGAGATCTTCCGGAAATATGCCACCCGTCCTTCCGATTCTGTTAAACTGAAGAAAGCTTTGAGAGAGAGGGTTGCTTCCATTAACAAATCCCTTGGAATTAAATACTCGAGCGCCGTACACGACTTGATCATCGACAGCATTGCGGCCAATAGCAATTTTCCGCTGGAGGATGGTATATATTCTTATAACATAATACACACACACACACACACACATATATATATATATATATATATATATATATATATAGATATATTATTTTGTAACAATGCATTTCGTGCGACTTTGATAAACAATCAAAGTACATGGTCAGGGCGCGAATGCGGAATAGCACATATGGGTCATTCTTTTACAAACCGGACACTAATTAACCTTGACATTTTAGAATTATCTAAAAATTTGTTTACAGATACTATTCATAAAATCATTTGACACGTATTTCAGGATTTTGCTGAAAAAAATTTTTTTACGTAAATATTGTTGTTAAAAATTTCTAACTTTACTTGTTTTTGAGATATTGGCAGCGGATCTTTTTACCCACGAACTTTCAAGCTCCGCTCTCCCCTAATGTTTTTTTTCGACTATATGTTCATTTTTCGCCAGAAGCGAAATTATAAAATATTTTTCAACCGAAAAACAATAAGATTGTCTTTCGAAAGTGACAAATGAGTAAGTCTTTGAGGTCCACGACGTGAAAAGCGCGGCGCGACGTGAAATATTTAATATCTTTCGATGCAACAAAGCCTCCAACAAATTGTAAAAAGAATTTTGTTGCAGAGAAAAAAAGAAAATATATGTTTTTTTGGATCTGCGGCGGCACCTAAGTGCAGCCGACGTGAGAATAGGCCTTTTGCTTCGATGGCCGCCTCAGGCCTGAATAAAAGAACCCGCCATCGAAGCAAAAGGCCTATTCTACCATTCACCAGCCAGGAGAGATATACAGCACGATATAAATATTGTACCTATATTTCACGGCGAATAAACAATAACAAACTATACCAAAACTGTTTCAATCCATAAACTACTTCAATGGTGACACCCGACGTGAGCATTCAACGTGACAAAGTCAGCTGAAGCAAAACAAGTATCTACCTGGCGTGAATAAACAAAACATTCAAGAACATACATAAGTGCATAAAATCTATGGCTATTGATTTTTTATTCATATCAATAGTTCTCGAACAAAGTGGAAGAGCATTTAATCGACAACAATTGCCGCATATTTTATTAATATTACATAGTTTATTCACCAATCTGTCATCCAAGAACAAGCAGGTCAACATTTATTTCTACCAGCAAAGGGCCACATACACTCAACCGCTAACTCACCAGCGAAGGGCAACATACACTCAGCCGCTAACTCACCAGCGAAGGGCCACATCTACTCAACCGCTAACTCACCGGCGAAGGGCCGCATTTACTCAACCGCTAACTCACCAGCGAAGGGCCACATCTACTCAACCGCTAACTCACCAGCAAAGGGCCACATCTACTCGACCGCAAACTCACCAGCGAAGGCCCACAAAACCTCTAGCTCATCAGCAACATCGGAACATCAATCGACAGGCAACGCAGCAACTAACCAATGCAGAATGCACTAAAAGCAACTCTATTGTGCCATGAGAAACATTTATGGATAGACGCTTTTTCGTAGTTATTGTTGAGCCTTGGAATATCTGAGAGACTTATAAGTTGGATATGTATACCCAGCCTAAATCTTTCTCCAAAGAAATAAGTGGACAAAATCAAGCCAGCTCATACAAAGCTTGAATAAACATAATATTAATTTTCAGAACACAACCATTTTTTTTTCTTTCTCCATAGGGGGGCTATGCGCCGGCACCTAAGTGCAGCCCTGCAATTAGTACGATCCTGCCGTACCACGTGATTGTCCTGCATGATGCGCACGCATCAAGACAGCCGAATAAAAGAGGAAGGATCATAGGCAAACGTCTCTTCCACCGTCAACCGCCAACAAGAACAGACTAATACATAGATTGTATCAATATTCAACAACAATAAACAATAGTGAATAGAATCAAAACTCTTGTTATACAACAACCACTTCAGATCGATTCAATTCGGGTAAAGGCCGAGTAAAACCTTTGTAAATATTTAAGGATTGTTATTGTTAAGAAAATTGCAAAAACAAAAAAAAATTTAATCATTACAAAGTTCACTTCAATATGACTGTAATAAAAAAAAATAATACTGATCGGATCAGCACATCCGGAGATAATTAATTTACCGCAGATGATGTTCATAGAAATTGAGCAAAGAATCCATATTTCAATCGTAAATATTTACGTAAAAAAAATTTTTCAGCAAAACCCTGAAATACGTGTCAAATGATTTTATGAATAGTATCTGTAAACAAATTTTCAGACAATTCTAAAATGTCAAGGTTAATTAGTGTCCGGTTTGTAAAAGAATGACCCATAATTAATGCTTTCTCCTCAAATGCTAATATTGAGTTATAAACCAAACGTTGATTTGGACTGTCACAAGCTTGCAAATGATACAAATAAGGGAAGAAAAAATTGTTATATCCATCGTGACAAATAATAATGGCGCAAAATAAGTACCAAAATGCATAATATATACTACTCATATATAATAAAGAAAAATATAAAAATATCCTTTCCTTCCAATATTTTATCATTCGCAAACTGAAGTATGATTATAAGATAACAAACACAAGAGAAGCACGTGTTCATTTAGTTCATGTCATTTTGTAATTGGAATTTATTTATTTATTTCACTCATTATCAGATAGGCCAGCTTTATTTTTCCAGTATTAGCTTACAGTAGGATAATGCCCGACATTTTCCTAAATATATTTATTTCTAAGATAAAATTTCTATTTAATCTATTCTTATTATATCATCTGATAATAGTTCTATAAATATTGTGCATGTGTATAAATAAGTTGAGGTACAAAACTCTAAAATTGTATGATTTTTCAGATATGAAAACAACGCATTTGACGAAACCGCAAATTGTAGGTTATACGGCTGATCAAGCAATGTCCTGCGCATGTCATGGTAAATTAATTTGAGATAATATTACAATAAATTAATTATAAAATAAAAGTCAAGGTGAATTAATATAATATAATATTACAATGACTATATAGTTTGTAGCTTCTAATTTGATCTGCAACATTTCAATGAGGTGTTTCTTGTTCGCATTGTTGGCTAGGAATATTTTGTGGTACAATTGGAATCATTGTCGCATCAATAATTTAGTCAACCTTATAGCAGTTTATCTTGATCGACGAAATATTTGGTGCTTTGATTTACTTCATTATGTATCACCCTACATATTGTATATTCTTTAAATACAATAATGGTATGGATTTTATTGTTTGATCAAACGAATACAATAATGCATTTATTGCAAATGAATGAAAACGATTTATCGCAATGCCAAATGACTCGGTGAAACAGGTATATACCGTCGATGACATACATTGTGTTTCCAAAAATAATATCTACAGAATGTTGTTTAAATGCCTTATATATAAAAAATTTAACGCATTTTTGCATACCTTTGTTATTGGAAAAGAATAACCGAAATGAAGCAAGCTTGTACTTTTTTTATTTACATTGAATGGCAATCAGAACAGTTACATTCTATAAACTATTGGGCTATAATTTTTTATCCTCATTGGGAGGATCAAATATGGCATGGTAGAAGATCTCCAGGTTGCTTTTTCTTGAGCCTCCTTATACCCGGGTTTGCTAGAAGCTAGCTTGTACATAAGAAACTTTTACGGTCACTTGAAGTTCTATTTATTATGTAAAATGAGTCGGAAAGATTATATAGTTCAAAAACTAGTTTTAGACGTCATTTTTCAATGTGTAGAGACATCAAAATCTTTGGTACCCCAATGGGCAGCCTCGCATCCTTCATTTTATTCAGAAATTGGAAATGAAGAATATAACAAACAATTTTTTTATTTCCGTTATGTAGATAGCATTATTACTTGTATCACAGATGAATATAGCAATATAACTGATAAATTTAACAACAATAATAAAAAACCAACTAGTACCGGAAACAAACTAGCTCGAGACGCCTAACTTATTTTTCATACCATCCTCTTAATTATCCAAAAAAAATCTGGGACATAAACATAGATCTAGTTTCAAAAACATTAAGAAAGAACACCTACCCCATAAACTCAGTCGTAAATAACAGATCCAAGTACCTTCTTAACAAACCAAACCAAGTACCATAAAAACCATTTAGGCTAAGAATCAAACACCGGTATTAATTGTTTAATTACCATTCATTAAAGAATTATATTTTTTGTGAAGAAATTTATTTCAACATTGTGGCCTATTAATGGCATGTAATTTCAATACAACCCTTAATTCCATTTTTACTCAAGTCAAATCAAAATTTAATTCAGATCACCCAAAAATCTTAGTTCACATAAAAAATGCTCATTTTACTATAGTAACCATCCAAATACCATGGAGCAATAGTATTTTTTTTGTTAATTGTGATATAAGGATACCAAATTGTAAGTGTTTTTAGATTAGTTTACAATTTTCTTGGTTTGTTACAAATTATTTTCTTAGTTGGGCTAAAAAGGACAGTCTGGGGGCTAACAGGAGAAAAGTCTTAACTTTAATTTTAGAGAAATTTTACGAAATAATACCTACATTATTCAACCAATGGGAAAATTAAATTTTATAGGTACTTTTTTTTTCAAAGATAACACTGTATGTGAAGATGTCAAAGGATGTCAAAATTGCTCGACGTTTTGCGGGTTACTGAACATTTTGGCATACCTCAAAAAAAATGGATGTGTGTGTGTTTTGTATTTTGGGTGTCCGCATTTTTTCGTTTACGTTTTCGGGTGCACGAATCAATCGATTTGAATGGTCTAAAAAACATTCGATTTCTATTGATAGGGAGATTTCTGATTAGTTTTTGGCAAAGGCGGGTCCAGCAGTTACGGAGATAAAAAGCAAAGTGTGCAGAAAATAGGCTTGCCCAGCCATTTCGAAGATATAGAGCTAAATGTTCAAAAAAGGGCAGTTTTTGATAGAACTAAGCGTCCGATTTAAATGATTTGAACTTTCTGCATGTTTTAACAAAATAATTGATTTCGGAAAAAAAAATGTTTCAATTTTTTTTCAACCGATTTGAATGTTAAAAAAACATTCAATTCCTATTGATAGTGAGATGTGCTGATTAGTTTTTGGCAAAGGCAGGACCAGCCGTTACTGAGATACGGAGCGAAGAGTGCAGAAAATACAAATCGAGTTTGTAAGAGAACAGAGTATCCGATTTGAAGAATCTAAAAAACATTCAATTTATAATGATTGGGAGAAAAATGATTAGTTTTTAGCAAAGGCAAATCCAGCCATTTCGAAGATGCAAGGCTAAAAGTGCAAAAAATGGCAGCTTTGGAGAGAACTAAGCTACCGATTTGAATTATTCAAAAAACTTTCTGCTTGTTCCAACAAAATAATTGCTTTTGGAAAAAAAATCTGTTTATTCTGTTAACTTCTACTTTGCAATTCAGTTTATATAATTCTTATAAATATTAGACAATGTTATATTATTTATAAAAATTTATTCAAAAACATTTAATATTTCTCGAAAATTTCATTATGGTACGGAAGTTTCAGCAATTAGTTTGTAATATGTAACTAGTGGTGTATGGCATTGTGCAAATTGCTGGAACTTTCCGTACTATAATAAAATATTCGGAGAATATTAAATATTCTAAAATATATTATTATGAATACTGTAACTTTCATTGCTTGTATTGTATAGACAAAGTGCTTATAAATTGACGGTAATGTTTAGGGGGAAGTCACGTAACGCCGGACGGCACCTAATGCCTGACACTCTATTTAACACGTATTATTTAAGCGAGTATAAATCTTTTTATATCAAAATACAAGTGAAAGGGGCGCGAGGGGCACACAGGTGCAGAATCACGCGCCAAGACCCACCTGTGACGCACACGGCCACGGCGGAAGCAACCCTTTAAGGCTGTTTAAGGTGCAAATCACCAAATATCAATGGAAGTAATTCTAGTATATTTATGCATTTACATTTGAGTGTCATTCAATGATAAAATTAGTACTTGATTGTTATCCGTAAAATAGTAGAATATTATTAGATATTTTAAACAATTTTATTAGGTACCACCAAATGAACGAACATATCTTTCCTTAGCACCGGACACTGATATTTCTTGTGAGAATTGACGTAATTTATTTTAATTATTTAATTTTGTTATGCATGAATGCTAACGGTCACTATATACCCCCATTTTTCGTATTTCCTAGACAAAGAATGAAAATCTTATGATGAATGCTCCAGCTAAGAGCATCGTTGTGGCCTAGCCAAAAGGGTGGATAAATAGTGATTTTTTGCGATATCTAAGAATATTCGTCAAACACACATGTGCAATCACTACAGAGTGTGGCGATAGCTACCTATGTATTCAATACTGGTTATTTTGAAGTGTCCGGTACTAGGTGCCACTTTGTAAAATCATATTTCTTGTTACCAAAGTCTGATTGATAGTATTAATTATTTTTAGCAAAGGTTTCATTTTTGTTGATTTAGTTTAATTTCCAAGTTTGTTATCTAACATAAGTCATAATTTAATAAACATTTCGTAGAATATTTTTTGATTTATTTATAAATAACCTTAGGTGTGCGGCACTCGGGAACTTTCCCCTATATAAGTTTAAGTGAAAAGTAATAAACAAAACTTAATGAAACGAAGTTAGAATGAAGGATTTTATCTCATATTCCTAAGAATTATATAAACTAAATTGCAAAGTTAAAATTATATATTTCAAGTTAATAAATGGGCTTTATAATTTTAGCCAGAATTAATATTTAAATCCCAATTATTTTCGCAATTCATAAAAAAATTATTTTTAGATAAAAAAAATAATAATAAATAAACTTTTTTTGTTTTCCCCAAACACAGTTGTTTCGTCAATACAAGCGAAAGGTTTTTTGAATCATTCAAATCGGCTGCCTGGTTCTTTTAAAAAACTACAATTATTAGCACATTTAGCTCCGTATCTCCCAAACGGCCGGACCTGCTTCCATCATTACAAATTAAATGTTTTGTGAATTATTCTAATCGGTTTGTTCTCTTAAAAACTCGATTTCTATTTTCTACAACCGTTGGACTTTCCTTTGCCAAAAACTTATCAGCATGTTTTTCCCTCAGTAGAAATGGAATGATCTTTGAATATTTCAAATTGGTTGATCCGTGCGTCCGAAATCATGGACGAACAATTGTAGACACACAAAGCAAACACACATTCATCATTTTTTTCTAACAATAAGGTATGCCAAAATGTTTAGAAATCCCTGAAACGTAAAGATATGCAAACCTTTTCATAATCGATTTTTGGACGATTACAATAACTTATACGACGTAAAGTTAACTAGGTGTAAGTAGCGTTTTGTCTTGAGGCTACTACTACTAATACTCAAATTATTGCTAACTATTATGACGATAGTAGTTTGAAATTTTGACACAACCGATTATTCCAAACTTCGAACATTTATCAAAAGCAATTTTCGTACGCCAATGATATTTCAAAGTATTTGACCATGATCTTAACACTATAAAAAGTTTCATCTCAATCTTATGAAGACTTAAAAGTTTAATAAATTAATTTAGGAAGAGACGTCTCGGCCGTTAATAATTATAATAATTTATTCTAATAATTATAATAATTTATATAATTTCCTTGTGACTAAAAGAACCTTCGACAGCCAGTTTTTGCAACCAGCACGATCTATAGATCGGTGTCTTAAATAATTTTGTGACAAAATCTGAGATGTGCATTAACTAAAGTTGGGACAATAAATAACACAATAAAAGCGAAAGGTTGCCTTGTTTATAATTATCTATCATCTTTTTTAGGTACTGCATACACCATACCATGTGATAATTCTCCCAGATCTGCAAAATATACCAAAAGCTGTTGTGTGAGAAGCAGGGGAGCACAATGCTTTATCAGTGAGTAAACAAATTTATTTATCCTATTATTAATGTTTATTAATATATTTTGTAAATATTTTTATAAAATAGCGCCGACTGGAGCAGTTGCTTATCAGATTCCTTGTCCTGCACAAATGACTAAACCGCCTTGTAGATGTCGCCAGTGTATTGCTTACTATAAACCTCAGGTTCGTACTTTTGAGATATAAAAATTAATCGCATGTCAATTATTCTCAGCTTGGTTTCTAAAATGGGCGTTCAGGCATAAATATGAAATAAACAGATTTTGAATTAAGATAGAAAAATAATTTTTGAGATATAAACATCATGTTCGTGTCTACGATTAAGTTTTTAAGATTTAATTTTCTTTAATTTTTTTTTTGATATCTAAATTAAGTTTTGGAAAGTTAGATATAAACGTTGGTACATAAAATTAAGATATATAGATTGAGCGAAAACTCATAAGTAGCTGTCTGAATCTCAATATTCAGACTCAAAGATAGTTATATCAACCGGAAGCTAGTACCTGGAATTAATACAAAAAGATTGACACAGAACCAATTATTATTAATTTTTATTAATCTCTAATATTATGATTTATTATTAAGTATTATTAATCTCAGGTTGATTTTTTATTAAGAATCGCAAGTTGATTGTTATAAAAATTTGGTATTGTCACCTTTTATACTAATCTCAGTATGAGTTGGTAATCAAAAACTGTCTAAATTTGATGCCGGATCAGGCGCTTTACACATAAAATCTAACCTACAAAAGACACAAACGTCATAATTTTAACTATTTTTGATCTTCACGTATGTGTTATCAAAAAAACATCATATGAAATGTTCCACATTCAGATATAAAACACAGGTTTATTTCACAATGTTTTATTCAAATATAATGTAAAAGTTGATATAAACTTCATTTTACACCTAGGATTCAGATATAAGTAAATATTAACTTCTCGTAGGGTGAAGTATAGTAATCGCAAAAAAATGTAAAATGTTAAAAATGTTTATATATCTTTACGTTTCAGAGGTTTCTGAACATTTTGGCATGCCTCAGAAAAAATGGATGTATATGTTTTTTTGTATAGCGAAGGAAAGGCGTTTATGCATCCAAGACTGATGTTTTGTTTGGGTATATCGGACTCAAAACCGCCTTGGTGTAATACCGACTAAAACTTTCGCTTTGCCCTTGCCTCTGGTCCCCACGGAAACCGCCCTTAGACATTAATTCGTGGGGCCTCCATCTAGAATGTTATAATTCTTTACTTCATTTTATACTCATCTTTTAAATGAGAGAAAGTGAGCAAAGTGCCTAGAACAAAGCCCTGCGGCACACCTCCTGTTATAATATATTCTTCTGTACCGTGCGTGCGTGAATCGTGCATTAGAATTCTGTCTGTAAAGTAGCTTACGACTATATTGCAGAGCTGGCACGTTCTTGTCACGGAGTGCATTCATAATGCAATCCCAGTTTGCAGAATTGAAAGTATTTTTTACATCCAATGTAGCTACTAGACATTACTTCTTCGCGCCCCCTTCCATCCGGTTCCAGCAATTGTTCCTTGGCGGTATTAACTACCAAGTTTTTAGCACCGATAGTTGATCGCCCTTTGCGAAAACCATACTGACTGTCTGCTAGGAGTGCGTCAACTACTGTCTATACTAACTTCTATTCTTTGGTGAATTATTTGTTTGGATGTATGTGTGCGCGTGTGGATACAAATTTATGTCGACGAATTCGGGAACAAGGTTCAACCGATTTCAATTATTCAAATAACATTCGATTGCTGTTAATAAGGAAACGTGTTTTTGGCATAGGCAGGTCTAGCCGTTTCGAAGATACGGGGCAAAAAATGCCACAAACGGTAAATCTGTTTTTAGGAGAACGGAGTGTCCGATTTTAATATTTCAAAAAACATTTTATTTGCATTTGTTAATGATCTATATTTCGATTTGATTCTATATTTATTATTATATTATTACAAAACATAATACGATTGTTATACCAATTTTAGTTTCAAATACCCAATTACTAAAATTCATTAATTTTCATTGCAAATTTTGCGCCATTAATTCGAGTGCTAAAAGCAGCGCCATCAGGTCTGAGCGAAAGACCCTTTAAGTATCCCATCTGAACGTAAAAATCGGGAGAGAAACGTCTATATGAATACATCGTATTCTAATATTGTCTAGGATACGTTTGATATAGTACGGGAGCCAGCAACGTTTTCGAGCAAGCATTTTAGTCAGGCTGGTTTTTTGGTATGTGGTCCTTGGTGCTCTCTCGGTTAGGGTATGGGCCGTCTGGCAGCTGGAAGTGGTTGCGTTAATTAGTGCGCAGCCAATTTGTACAGCGCGATTTCAAAATTTTGAAAGCATTTTAGTCAGTCCAATTTTCGTTTTTTTGACTTCGAATAGGTTCACCAGACTAAAATTTTTTGATGCCAGACATTTTGGGCGCTGCTAAATATGTGCCAGACGCCAATTTATTTATTATTTTTATAAAAAATTCAAATCATTTTAGTCCGTCTGAAATTTTAGTATTATGTTCGTTAATAATAAAAACACGTAAAATTAATTTGCCAGACGTTTCTGCGGTTGTTAACCATGTCTGGCAAGCAAAAATGTCTGGCAATATGATACTAGTTTATAGCATTTTAGTCAGTCCAATTTCCATTTTTTGACTTGATATTTGATATGATAACTTGAATAAGTTATCCAGATTCACATTTTTGTTGCCAGACATTTTGGGCGCTGCCAAATATGTGCCAGACGCCAATTTATTCATTAATTTTTTTTAAATTTCAAATCATTTTAGTCCGTCTGTAATTTTAATATTATGTTCATTATGGGTCAAGAAACATAAAATTAATTTGTCAGACGTTTCTGTGGTTGTTAAGCATGTCTGGCTTAAAAAGTTTGCCAATATGATACTAGTAGGCAGAGTGAGACAATCGCCAAATACATTGGCACGAATAAAACAAAAAACTATTATACTCGTAAGAGCGCTATACGTTTACTAGGCAGAAAACTATAAGAAAAATCAAGTAACTATATTAGACAGATGTGTTTGTTATAAACTTCTCTGCAAAATTGTGTTTATACCATTTTTCTTTAGAATCGCCATTTCTTACAAATTGCCATCTGGAAAGTTAAAAAATTCATATTTCTCATAATATGCAGCCTTTATAAATACATCATCGAAGGTGAATTATGAGTGAAAAATAAAAATCCAGTGATTTGTGTTGGATAGATGAGTTTAATGAGTCTTTTGATATATCACATTGTAGTATTATTGTCCCAGTGTGGGAGGGACGCATACCTGATTGTTTTGAAGGAATTAATCGAAATAATTATGTATAAATGAATGCGAGGCGTGTTATAACATCCAAAGTGCTTAAACAGTTATCATATTGAATAAATGTGCCAGTTTCTAGTACCAACACATGAGAAGGAAGATAAACTATAGCTACATTATTGTATTATTGTATCATTAAGCCATAAGACGAATAAATCTGTATAATAGACGTTTTTATTCGTTGTTAAAAAAAACGATATTCCCAATTATAATCTTGATTAAAGAGACCTAGGTCGAATGACTATCATTATATAGTGATACATATTGATCTAAAATGATCCCATTTGAATTTTTGAATTATTAAATACACTTCGATTTTTAAAAAACATTGCTCAATTTACAGCTAAAAGCTGAAAGAAAAAAGAGCGGAGAATGTTTGCTGTACAATATATATTGTATATATATACTAGAATTTTAAGATTCTATTCTAGGGGTAGCTTGAACTAGTAAGGTAGCAAAACTAGTATTACCAGTATTAAGTATAGGTATGTGTTACAAATAGTTGCTGCTAAATCTAAGTACCATGTAAAATGAAGTCATTTGACTCAGTTAACTTTGCGATAAAAAAAATTGCGTACAACAAAAATAATGATTATTGTCGGTTCTCATTGCAAAACTTAAAATATATGATATTCTTAGGAAATTGACGATGTTATTTAACCACTGTCGAGTCAAATTTTTGAAAATATTAACAGCAATATTTTAGAATCATTAACATATTTTTTAGAGCTAGTAAAATTAAAAAATTGACTAATATGATGCAATTTTTTTGTCTTTTCTAATTAGGTCTTTATTTAACTTTATTTTATTTGTTTTATGAAAATGTTATTGAAATTGCACTAACTTTAAATAGTATACGTATTGCGCTCTTACGAGTATAATAGTTTTTTGTTTCATTCGCGCCAATGTATTTGGCGATTGTTTCACTCTGTCTACTAGTATCATATTGGCAAACTTTTTTCGTTGCCAGACATGCTTAACAACCACAGAAACGTCTGGCAAATTAATTTTATGTTTCTTGACCCTTAATGAACATAATATTAAAATTACAGACGGACTAAAATGATTTGAAATTTAAAAAAAAATAATGAATAAATTGGCGTCTGGCACATATTTGACAGCGCCCAAAATGTCTGGCAACAAAAATGTGAATCTGGATAACTTATTCAAGTTATCATATCAAATATCAAGTCAAAAAATGGAAATTGGACTGACTAAAATGCTATAAACTAGTATCATATTGCCAGACGTTTTTGCTTGCCAGACATGGTTAACAACCGCAGAAACGTCTGGCAAATTAATTTTACGTGTTTTTACCATTAACGAACATAATACTAAAATTTCAGACGGACTAAAATGATTTGAATTTTTTATAAAAATAATAAATAAATTGGCGTCTGGCACATATTTAGCAGCGCCCAAAATGTCTGGCATCAAAAAATTTTAGTCTGGTGAACCTATTCGAAGTCAAAAAAACGAAAATTGGACTGACTAAAATGCTTTCAAAATTTTGAAATCGCGCTGTACAAATTGGCTGCGCACTAATTAACGCAACCACTTCCAGCTGCCAGACGGCCCATACCCTAACCGAGAGAGCACCAAGGACCACATACCAAAAAACCAGACTGACTAATAATGCTTGTTTTGAAAACGTTGCTGGCTCCTTTCCAAAACTTTTCGTTCAAAAAGTAGATCAAAGAAAAAATACTTAATTCATTTTCTATCTCTCCTAACAAAAATTTGAAAATTTTGTAGGGGAAAGTCTCCTAGTGGCGGACACCTAAGGTTATTTATAAATAAATCAAAAAAATATTTTATGAAATGCTTATTTAATTATGATTCATGTTAGATAACAAAGTTAGAAATCAAACTGAATTAATAAAATCGCAATCTTTGCTAAAAAAATAATTAATACTATCAATCAAACTTTGGTATCAAAAAATATTATTTTAAACAGTGGCACCTGTCATTTAAAAATAACCTGCGTTGATCACATATGTAGCCATCTCCACACTCTGGAATGTCTGCATATGTGTTTTTGACGAATAATATAATAGTGCAAAAAAGTCACTATTCATCCCTTCTTTTGGCTGGGCAACACCGATGCTCTCAGCTGGTGCATTCACCATAAGCTTTTCATTCTTCGACTAGAAAATACGAAAAATGCAGGTATGTAGTGACCATTAGCACTCATACAGAACAAAGTTAAACAATTGGAATAAATTACGTATATTCTCACAAGAAATATCAATATGTGTAATGTCCGGCACTAAGGGACGACTTAGTGTCCGGTGCTAAGAGATAGATATTTTCGTTCATTTGGTGGCTCTTACTTAAATTTGTTAAAAGATCTAATAATATTCTACCATTTTACGGAAAACAATCAAGTACAACTTTTAGCTTTGCATACCATTTAAATGCAAATGCATAAATATGCTAGAATTACTCTCATTGATATTTAGGTCACGCCGTGATTTTGCGCCTAAAACAGCAAACGGGTGCCCCTGCCGCGGCCGTGTGCCTATGTGTGTCCCCAGTGCCCCTTTCACTAATATTTTGAATTGAAAAGATTTATACTTGCTTAAATAATACGTGTTATATAGACTGTCCGGTACTTGGTGCCGTCCGGCGTTACGGGACTTCCCCCTATAAGCTCAGTAGTATTATTTAAAATTATACGCAAAATCCATAAATCAAAAAAAAAATCTGAAAATCTTGAAACATAATCAGTATTTTATTATTTGGAGTTTGTAATTACTATATAAGTCGAAAGATCAAAAACGGACTACATTATACCATGTTTTCCATAGAAAGTGGATAAAACTTCCAGTTTGATTGTATTAACAATATTTGGGCAAAAGAATATTTAACTTCCCGAAGGAGAAGTTTATGTTTTCATCAAAAAATCCGATTCGCTAATTTTATGCTTTCTCGACGTTTCAAGCCATTCTGAATCGAATGAGACCAAATTTGGAAAAAGTATGTGTGTGTGTGTGTGTGAACAGATTTTTTGCCGTAAATCGACGTTTTCTCCAAAACGGCTGGACCGATTTCAAAAATTTAAAAGCCATTTGATGTATCTCGATGAGGACTATCGTCCCTGAGTTTTGTGCGGCGATCGGCCGGGCCGTTTCTTTGTAAATTGCAGAAAAGTGAAAAATTTTTTGCCCACGTTTTAGCCCGCAATTCTGAATCGATTCTGAAAATTCAAAAACCATTCGATAGATATTGGTTGGGAATCGTGCTGATTAGTTTTTGGTAAAGATCGGCCGAGCCGTTTTCTTGTAATAACGTTTTAAAAAAAAAAAATTCGACGATTTTTATGATTTTTTTTTTGACGGTAGATACCATAGTTTTCTAGGTCATACTAAAATATTACGGCCCTACGACAACTCGTTTAGCTTTAAAAATTCGTCAAAGTTTGCAAAAATTGGTATAGTTTTTTTGACATTTGCCAAAATTAGACTTTTGATCGACGTTTTCTCAAAAGCGCCTGAACCAATTTCAGAAATTTAAAAGCCATTTGATGTATTTCGGTGAGGACTATCGTTTGTCAGTTTTGTGCGACGATCTGCCAAGCCGTTTCTTTGCAATTTGAAAAAAAGTGTTAAACTTTTGGTCCACATTTAAGCTCATCCTACCGAACCGATTTTAAAAAATCAAAAACTGTTCGAAAGATATTAGTTGGGAATGATACTGATTAATTTTAGGTGAAAATCTACCGAGCCGTTTTCTTGAAATTAACTGTTGAAAAAAAGTGTTAAATTTTTGTCCACATTTAGGCTCATCCTACCGAACCGATTTTAAAAAATCAAAAACTGTTCGAAAGATATTAGTTGGGAATGATACTGATTAATTTTAGGTGAAAATCTACCGAGCCGTTTTCTTGAAATTAACTGTTGCAAAAAAGTGTTAAATTTTCGTCCACATTTAAGCTCATCCTACCGAACCGATTTTAAAAAATCAAAAACTGTTCGAAATATATTAGTTGGGAATGGTACTGATTAATTTTAGGTGAAAATCTACCGAGCCGTTTTCTTGTAATGAACTGTTGAAAAAAAAATTTAAGCCGATTTTCATGGAACTTTTTTTGGCGATATACATCGTGGTCTTATAGAACTTACTGTAATATTACGGTCTTACAACAAGTAGTTTAATTTTAAAAATTCGTCAAACTTTGATAAAATTATTATCGTTTTTTTTTAAGTAGGATTGATGAAGTATATTATTTACACATTTTTTTTGATTAAGTCGATTATTTACAAATATCGGGAAGTTCATGTAACTTGCCTCAAGGCTAAATACCAAACCAACTAGTTTTAATAAAAGTTATATATTATTGAACAAGTGAACTTTGGGGTTTATTATTTTTATAATATCTTAATGCCTATAGAATTCAAATAATACATTCTTACACACTTAAAATAAAGTATTAATTTTTTTGATTCTCTAGAATTTTTTCAGAAATGCCTTACTAAAAAAACTTAATTTAAAATTTAAATTTAATTTCAACAATTTTCCAGTTTCTTCCTTCGTGTCCCCAATGGCGTACATATCGATGCGTAACCACGTCGTCTTTAAAGAGAAGGTGCACGCAGAGTTCCATCAGGCCAAAAAGGTAAACAAACATAATAGTTCAATCATATAAAATTCTCAGGAACTACTATATTTTAATTTTTTGATTTCATTCTGACTCATTTGAGAACCAAATTTGGAAAAAATATGTGTTTGTTATGTATGTTTATGTTTGTCGTTTATTTTTCTGGATCTTTTGTCGACGTTTTCTCTAAAACCGATGCATCGATTTCAAAAATTCCTCACTCTTGTCACTTTTGCTCTTTGCGCAACGATCGACAAAAAAGTTTAAATATTTTAGCCAAAATTCAGTTATTGGTATCTTGTTGATCAGTTTTTGGTAAATATCGGCAGACATTTACCAGTACTCAGAAATTTGTAATTAGTTGTTGAATTTTTGACGATAAAGATCATGATCCTAAATGATCCGGAAGTTATCAACGTTTTCCGTAAGCTGATTTTGTGTAATGTGGTCCTTGTTGCTCTGTTTATTAGAGTCGTTTATAAGTGCGCAGACAACTTGTATAGGTACAAATCCAAAGTTTATAAATAATTTTCTTTTCTTTGACTTTGAGTAGGTTTGCCAGACTCACATTTGTTGTTTCCAGACATTCTTGGCGCCGTTAATTATGGCCCAGACGCCAATATATGTTTTTTTAATTTAAATTATTTTTACTTGTTTTAATTTCAATATCATGTTAATTTATGGTAAAAAACATAAAATTAATTTGCCAGACATTTATTTGGTTGTCAAGCATGCCTGGTGATGAAAAGTCTAAAAATAATAGTCAGAGAGTATCAATCGCCAAATAAATTAGCGTGAATGAAACAAAAAACTATTATAAGAGCACATTACTTTACTATAGTTACAATAACATAACACAAATTTTCATGAAACACATTTCATAACACAAAACAAAGAGAATTAAAAATGCATCACATTAGTCAATATTAAATTTTACTTACTTTCAACTATGTGGGACGTGGAATAAGTATCATTGTCAACCACTACAGTTTGAATATTGTAACAATGATATTTATTGTCGTCAAATGGTTGCCATCCACTAGGACATTTATGATAGAAGCAACCGCAAAAAGTAAGCAAGAGGCAGATACAGAATTGGGATTTTACAAGAAATCGCCTTTTATATGTTTCAACAAGCATTATAAAAAAAATAACAGTACAAAAGAATCATTAGCACCCGGGTTGAAAAATTTTATGCGGATCCGTAGTAATATGATAAACATTTTAGACTAAGAGCCCGTGGGCGGATGACAGTATGTATTTTACGACACCTGAGATTTTGTGCAGCGATTATTCCTCTATACTTATCCTACATGAGATGGGGACTGACTAAGCCCAAAGTAGCGGACACAACTACTGCGCAGCTGGTAAAGGTACCTTTTTTTCGCCTATTTCCGAACCATTTTACAACGGCTGCCGTTTCGAAAATTTGAAAATATAATATAATTACTATCGGAAAATGCCAATGGCAGACGATCATCGCGCGGTTAACAAGGTGGCAGATGATTTTGAAAATGCAGAAAAAATTTTTTTTGAATGTATTTGGTGATGACTGCCATTTACATATTTTATTCCTTATAGTATCAAAAGCTTATTTTTATCATGGCAGACGTGTACCTGGCGTATCAACATCATCAGAGTTAAAAAAACTCGGCTACCATCCGGCCTGATAGTATCTCCATGTTTTATACCGGTATAAGCAATTTTTTCATAATGATAATAGAAATTAATATTTTCTAGTCTATATGTGACATTTAATAATGTTGATGAGCGGAAAAAAGGATTTTTTACGCTAAATTCATAAATATTAAAATATAGAAACGATACCAACAATTATTGTGGTCTTTAATCAATTGTTTTATTTATTGTAGTCTAATTTCAAAAAGTTGTAAAAAAGTATATTAGTTAGCTTTAGAACTTTAGCTAGAAAAAAATTAAAATTCGATTTATTTTTGATACTCAAAAAAACAATTTTCTGTAAATTAAAAACAAAATTAACAAAAAAATCCCAAAAGCAATCTTTTCGCCAACCCAAGCAGAAAGTTTTTCAATCATTCAAAACGGATGATTATTTCTCTCAAAAACTGCCATTTTTTGCACATTTAGCTCCGTAGTTTCGAAACGGCTGAACCTGCCTTTGCCAGAAATTGATCACCACTTCTACCCATCAGTACGAATCAAATGTTTTCTGAATCATTCAAATCGGATGCTCCAGAAGCTCGATTACTCTTTTCTACACTCTTTGCTCCGTATCTACGAAACAACTGGACCCTGTCAATAGAAATCAAATATGCTCGAAAACGTGGACGAAAAATTGTATCCATACATACATGCACGCACATACACACACATATTCAATTTCGATTTTTGCACAATTACCTTAACTACGGGAAATTAAAAAATGCCATTTGGCGGTCAAAAACGTTTATTAGAGATATGCACATCAAATTATCAGTTATTTCATAGAGATTCTAATAATGTGTACACATTTTGTGCCAATTTTTTGGGTTCTGTACCAAAATGTCCTCGACATTTTCGACAGTATGTAACAACCGATTTGTATGATTGAAAAAACATTCGGTTCGCTCTCGATCGCGAGGTTTCTGCAAACGTTTTGAAGATATAGAGCCGTTTTGAAGGAATGAAGTGCAAAGGGTGTAAAAATCGTCATGCAGTTTTTGAGAGAACGGATCATCCGATTAGATTAATTCAAAAAACCTTTTGCTTGTGTAGACAGTGTGCAAAAAATGCTTTTACAAAAAAATCTGTAATTTTGAAAATTTTCAGAAAAACAATTCAAAATTTTCAAAAAAAAATAAAGTTACAAAAAATTGAAATTTTAGAATTTTTTCATCATTTTCATAAAAAATCTATTTTTGAAATTTTTTTAAAAATATCAAAATTTAAAAAAAATCGATTTCTTACAAAAATTTCAGAATACTTCAATATTTTCAAAAAAATGCAAATACTCAAAAAAATTTAAAACCTCAATTTTTTCCAAATATTCCAAAAAATTTCGAACTTTTAAACAAATTTCAAAGTTCAATTACGGTACTGGAAATTCTAGCGATCGGCCTTAAGGCACGACGCCATGCATTACTGGTTTAATCATAAATTTCTCGGTTGATGGTTGTTTAGTGGATTCTTAATAAGCTGTGATTTTAAGAAATTTAGAATTTTCTTAAGAGGACTTTCGGGTCCAGGCGCGTGCTATTGTACACTCTTAGTATATAGTAGTGTATGTATAGTGCCATGAAAGAAGAACACGATTCAACAATGGTTAGACTATTGATTGAGTATTATTAACTATTTCCTCTGTTAATTTATCACATTTGATATATTTTTATAGTTTATATATATGCGGCTTTATATATCTTTAGAGTTTATAACTTTATGCTTAACTAAACATAAGTACAATAGAGTTTAGAGTTCGAGTGCAAGTCAGCAGCAACTAATTGTAACTTATACTCATACTTAATTCTGGTAATACCAGTTTTGCTACCTTATTAGTATAAGCTACCTTTATAATGGAGTGTTTAAATTGTAGCATACATACTTTATATATATTGTACAGTATTCTACGCTTATTACAGATTTTTTTTAATTGTTTTTTGGCCGAAAAATAAGTAATATCTTTTAAAACAAAAATCGACATAATTTTATTAAATCAAGAAATCAAATGGGTCATTTAAGATTAATATGTACAATTATAAGCAACTGTATAATAGTTGTTATTCGGCGTTGGTCTCTTAAATGATGTTACAATTGCGATTATCGTTTTTTTATCGACATTTTGGATCAAAAAGTCTTTTATACAGATAATTTCGTTTTTTGGCTTGTGTGCATCATATAATCATTCACTATGAGACAGCTACAATTCATCTTTCTTCTCATATATTGCCATTAGAAACTGATACATTTTTACAATATGATGTTAAAAATATAAACACTTTTGATGGTTGTAGCATTTATAGTTTATTATTCCGTTTATTACCTTCAATACAACAAGGTATGTGACCCTCCCACAGTAAGGCAATGATATACCGAATTACGGGTTGACACTACTGTTTGATACTTCAAAAGACTGATTAAACTTATACTATCCAAAGACTATTATATTAATAGATTCTTATTTTTTACTTATAAAACACGTTTAATGATGTATGAAGGCTGCATATTATGATGAATATGAGTTTTTCAACTTTTCAAATGGCAATATATCAAATATTAACATAATTTTGTAGAGAAGTTTATAATAAACAAACCTGTATAACGTTTCGGCGGAAAATCTAAATTTTGTATATTTTATCTTAAATAAAAAAATCGCACAGGTCGGATCCATGGAGTCTTTTGACATTACATTTGAATGGTCTATTTTCAGCACTATACAAATTATTCCTAACTTGAATGCTATTTGACAGGAGTAAACTAACATGAAACTGATGATAACTTATACAAGTGATGTGCTATTTGGTGATTGTCCCTCTCTGACTACTAGTATCATATTGACACACTTTTTATTGTCAGACATGAGACGTGCTTAACAATAACAACCAAATACATGTCTAGTAAATTAATTTTATATTTTTTACCCTTAACATTAACACAATATTCAGTTTACAGACAGGTCAAAATATTCAAAATTAAAAAAAAAACAATTGACGTTTGGTACATAATAAGCGGCTTCTAAACTTTCTGGTAACGACAAAGGTGGGTCTGGTAAACCTATTCAAAGAAAAATTGAAATTAGATGGATATTCAAGTGTTTTGCATTTTTATAAACACGCAGTAGAAGAGCGCATTCACTGATCTTGCTGGATACCTCGCTGCGTAGCTTTACTAAAAATAAAACAAATAAATCTGCGGTTCTTATTATCAGTATTGCAACTTGCAAATGAGCATTATATAAAATAATAAATATTGAAAATCCAGTGACGTGGCTTAAATAACTTTATAAAATTTAAGAAAACGTCTTATCAATTCTGCCATAAAAATACTTAAAAACAGTGTTGAAGAAAGCAATTTTAGCGGAAACTGAGCGTCATTCGACTCATTATTATTAAACAATTATACATATGTACAGAATAAGACATTATCCATGATTCATTTATAATGCTTGTTCATTCCTAAGGCGTTCTTCGAAAGTACAACATCCTTCCTTCTCCGATATATCGAGACGGCGTAGTTTATCAGGTCACCGCCAATTGTCATCCACTCCGCCGCCAACAAGGACCCCGACACCGATTCCTTCTCGACCAATAACTCCACCGTGGAGGGCTCCGACGCCTCCTCCAATGCCAATACCACCACCTCCTCCTATGCCACCAGCTCCCCCTCTTAGAAAGTTGAGAATCAGGGGAAAATTGAAAATCAAAAAAAGGGTATGTAATGAATATATATATATATATATATATATATATATATATATATAATATATATTAAATTTTTTATATAATTTTGATGTTGAAATATGTGATATTCAGTTTTCAGGGCAATACATCAATTAAAAAATTTGTATGACTTTAAAACATTTTTATTTTTTCCATACGTTTCGACACATAATTTTGTGTCATCTTCAGTGGACTCTATTTTGAAGGTACAGATAAAATTATTAATTAAAACTAATATATAAGAAGTGATATGGTATGAACTTACATGTAATTGTAATAATTTTAATTATTTCCTAATTATAATTGTTCACAATGCACAATGAAACCAATTCTTGTCACTTTAAATGTAGCAATAATAAATTTTTTGAATGAGTTATTTTATGAATTTGTAAAATATATCCCGCTATACTGTATTCCGATGCAAGAGTGAAGCCAAATGTGCACAAATGTGCACACCACGTGTTAGAAGCTAGGTACCGAGCGCACGAACTGACCAGAGAATTTAAGGTTTGACAACGCGAGAGGGTACATAAAGTAAAAAATAAAAAGATGACAATTGTGAGGGTGGACATAGTTGGTAGAATTGAGAAAAAATTAAAAGAAAAAGAAAAATTAACATAAAAATTAATATAATTAAAAAGTCGATAAGATAGGTAATTATTTTAAAGGAATGAATTTCGAGACATTGTTTAAAACTACTTGGTAATTCTCACACAATGAAGACTATCCAATCTTTTGTTTATGCTATTTTTGAAAAGATGTATGAAACATGATTCTGAAAAGCGTCTCTGCGATGTATTCGACTCGTGATATAAAATTGTGGCAACATCAAAATTGAAAATATGATTGAAATTTTGTATGTGGTCAGTTATCATTGTTTGATTTTGATTTTTATTTTTGGAGTTGTTATAGTGTTGTCTAAGACGTTTTTTTAGATGTTGTCCAGTTTTGCCAATGTAAGTGGCCTCACAATTTGTACAGTCAATTTTATACACGATGTTAGAAATACGATCTAAACTTGTCGGTGATTTTAAGTTCGAAAATAAGAAGTTAAGAGTCTGATCAATATTGCAAACTAAACGCAAATCCGCGAATTCAAATAGTTTTTTCCAAATAGGAAAGAGATTTTTAATGTAAGGGAGACAAATAGTGCCAACAAACTTATTTTCTTCTTTTTTCTGGGACTCAAGGGAAGGAAAATTATGTTTTGTGTTAAGGACGGAAAGTCTGTTGTTAATTACTGATTTTATAAGGTGTGGAGGATAGCAATTATTTAATAGGGTTCTGTGGATTAGAGATAGGTTAAGAGGCCAAAATTTTTTATCTGACAAGAGAATAGCATGATCAACTAAATTGATAATGGTACCGATTTTCATGTTAGTGGGATGATAAGAATGGAAATTGAGATATCTGCCAGACCACGTTGGTTTCTGGTACCAGTTAGTAATAATTTTATTATCTGGAGTTTTTATGATATTTACATCTAAAAAGCTAACTGACCTATTGTGTTCTTTTTCGAAGGTAAAGGTTAGGTGTTTATTAAAGGAGTTAAAATTTTTTAGTAAAGAATCAAAGTTATTTTTAGGAATGCAAGTAATTATATCATCAACATATCTGTAGTAAAGAAAAAATTCAACATTAGATAGTTTAAAAACGTTTTTTTCAAGATGTTGTAAAAAGAGTTCAGCAAGAGCAGGTGAGATAGGCGATCCCATGGGGGTATCAAAAATTTGTGTATAAAATTGTGAATTGAATTCAAAATAAGTATTCGCGACTATGAATTTAATGGACTCTCGAAACCAATGGAGGGAAAGGGTTGTGTGGCAAGAAATCTCATCCCATCTATCTGTGATTGACTCTAAAATTAGTTCTATTGGGACATTTGTGAAAAGAGAAACTACGTCTAGGCTTATTAAGAGGGAGTTGTTGGGCAATTGTGTATTACGTATTTTGTTGACAAATTCGAAGGAATTTTTAATAAAGAAAGGAGAATTAACAGCAACTATGGAGAGGGGTTTGCTCAGAAATTTGGAAAATTTATTTAGTGGTGAATTCAAATCTGCAACTATAGGTCTAAAAGGTACATTGGTTTTGTGGATTTTTGGGAGACCATATAATTTTGGGTTTTTAGGATGTAGGTTTTTTAACGACAAGGACAAGTCTTGTGGGATTTGTTTAGTAGAAACTAAATTATTAATGAATTTGTGGAACGTGCGGTTGATTCGATCTGTAGGATCGTTATTGATAGGACTGTAAACGTTAGTGTCATTCACTAGACTAGTGATTTTTTCTAAGTAGGTAGTTTTGTCGAGAATTACTGTGACATTTCCTTTATCTGCTCTGGTTACTAAAATATTCGGATTATCTTTGAGAAAGTTTTGAATTCGCAGACTCTTAACTTCTTATTTTCGAACTTAAAATCACCGACAAGTTTAGATCGTATTTCTAACATCGTGTATAAAATTGACTGTACAAATTGTGAGGCCACTTACATTGGCGAAACTGCACAACATCTAAAAAAACGTCTTAGACAACACTATAACAACTCCAAAAATAAAAATAAAAATCAAACAATGATAACTGACCACATACAAAATTTCAATCATATTTTCAATTTTGATGTTGCCACAATTTTATATCACGAGTCGAATACATCGCAGAGACGCTTTTCAGAATCATGTTTCATACATCTTTTCAAAAATAGCATAAACAAAAGATTGGATAATTCTTCATTGTGTGAGAATTACCAAGTAGTTTTAAACAATGTCTCGAAATTCATTCCTTTAAAATAATTACCTATCTTATCGACTTTTTAATTATATTAATTTTTATGTTAATTTTTGTTTTTCTTTTAATTTTTTCTCAATTCTACCAACTATGTCCACCCTCACAATGTCATCTTTATTTTTTACTTTACACCTAAATATTCGTCTGGTATATTCGTATATAGCTCTAACATCGTATATATATATATTATATAAATATATTTTTGGTTTGATATTCAACATCAATAAAAATAGTATGAGAGTTTTTTTAAAAGTTTATTTATTTAAAATCCATACGTTTCGGCTAGCATCTTAGCCATCATTCAGTGGTAATCAAATTAACTATAAAAATTGAAACTAAATAAATTATATGAAAGGAAATTTCATGGAAAAACAATAATAATAATAATAATAATAATAAAACACTTACAATTTTGTATCCTATTATAGCATATGAAACCATTATTAATCCATGGTATCAGTATGTGCACATTGATAAGATATATATATTTAACATCACAAATGGTAAAACACACTAATAACCATGATAACTTAACAAGTTGTCGAAACTATGTATTTACTCTTCGGAGTTTAAGATAGAAATGTCACATTTTTCTCAAAGCAGTTTTTAGCATGTGTTGATATTTTTTGGAAAATTTAAAAAGCGATGGGATTTTGTAATTTTTTAAGAAATTTTGACACGCTATTAAGGAACCACGTGTATATACATATACATGATATACATATATATGATTTAGTTGTTACATTACATTACGTTATATATATTTCAGACCATATGTCGTTGCGCCAACCAGACTAGTGGTTCGGCACCTGCCTCCTTCTACGCTAAGCTACGCACTTTACCCCAGGATGAGTTTTGCGCAAATAGCAGAGGCTCCTTCTACAATGCATACAACACTTCTGCTACCAAATTTTCTCAGTTGACTGCATGCGCATCCCTACATGCCAAGAAGTAACAAAAAATTTAATTTATAACTGAGTTTTTTTCAAAGTCCTCAATAATTAGTAATATTCTTGATTTCCTAATGCATTTAGAATTTGCAAAGCGCCTCCTTGCAACTCTGTGTGGACCAACAGGGGCGTAGCTCTTGGTCGGCCAGTATCGCCTTGTTGCGAACCTTGCAAGTGCTTCTCTTCGAGCCAGTCAAGTTGCTGTAAGTCATCCCCATGCAGCGGCGATATAAAAGTCCAAGGTAAAGACGCATTTGAAATTTAAATTTTACTTAAGATTATAAATTAAGAGAGTGAAAATATATATAAAAATAAGTCGGGTTTTCCTTCCTGACGAAATAACTCCAGAACGCACAACCGATTTCGACAATTTTGCATTCGTGGTAAAGGTCTCGAGCTCCGCAAGGTTTATAGCTAAAAAAATTAGTGGTGCATGGCATCGTGCCTTAATGCAAATTGCTGGAACTTCACGCACCGTAATTAAAAATTCGAGTAATAGAAATAATCAACAATTGTTTTAAATAATTTCAAATAGATTATTTTCTATATATAGTCAGTCTATCATCAACCTCGGTACGGTCAACATCTAATTCTTGCTCCTTAGCTTTTATTTATTTTTACCTGAATTTACAGTTAAATCCCGTTATTTTTGTAGTTCTTTATACCTGTGCGAGTGTTTTTCCAATACCTTCAGTTTATTAAATTTGTGATTCGTGAATTTATTTAAATATTTTATATCGTTTTATCTATTTATTCTAATTTTTAAATAGTTAATTACTCAATTTATTTAGTTTCATTTTCTAGTTTACTTATTTCTTATTAAATATTTCAAAATGGTTGTTACACGGAGCCAAGTGCCAAGTCAGTCCGTCCTTAGATACAAGTGTCTCAGTTTTGGACGACTCAATCGATTTAAATTCTACTGTTCTTTGCTCAAATTGTTTTCATTTACAATCTCTTGTTCACGAAAGAGATATTAAAATTGATAGGCTGACAAAAGAATTGTCTTAGGTTAAGTTAGGGAACCAGAATTTTCAGCTCAGGATTACTGGTGTTAGTTCCGTATTAGGGAATATGAGCTCTTCAAGTTCAGTTTTCAAAGAGTCGTCCACATTTTCACGTTTTTTTTTCAAAACTCTGTAATGAGTATTCTAGTTTAATAAAAAAACGGAACTTAGATTTGAAACAGCTTAGGGATGAATTTACCAAATTAGAGTCCAAAGCAAAGCACCTCGAGCAACGCGTTAATCATGATTTGTTAGGTTCTATTAAGAACAGTAAAATTTTGTTTCTTTCCGATAGCCACGGCAGAGGGTGGTCAGAATGCTTGAGAGAATTGCTTGGACGAAAATTTGATATATTCAGCATAGTCAAGCCGGGAGCCGGATTTGCTGATGTGGTTGGGGATATCGAGAGTCTGGTATCTGACTTTGGTCCGGGTGACCATGTTGTTGTTCTGGCTGGAACGAATGACGATTCGTCCAATTACGCTATTCGTAGTGCTTTGGAAAAGGCTCGTCGTTCATGTCAAAAGACAAACCTTTGTTTGATGACAATTCCGTACAGATACGACGACGTGCGTTGCAACGGGCTGATTTCCGATGCCAATTGCTGGATCAACCGAGACTACGGTCAAGGAAAGTTCAGTCATCTTCGGATTCTTGATGTCAACAGGCATGTTGGTTTATCCGATTACACCAGGCATGGCTTACATTTTCTTTTCAACGGGAAAAGAAAATTATGTAGGGTTTTAGCAAACGAGTTGTTGAGTGTCAAGGCTGTGGCGGGAATTCCTTTCGTGCCTAAAGCTGATAACAAATTTGCAATTATTTTTCAAAATATACAAAAACTCCAATAAATTGAATCAATAAAAAGTAGTTATAGATAATTATAAACCCCAAATATTATGTTTTGCTGAACACTGGTTAAATAAGTCGCATCTTGAATTAATTAAAATTAAAGGTTATAATTTTTTTATTGTTAAAATTGTTATAATTTATCTTCTCATTTCTGTCAAACTCAATATAGTCACGGAGGTGTGTGCATTTTTGTAAGTGAGTTCATTCATTCTAAACCCGTTTATACTAATACTCTTCAAGTAGAAAAACTTTTTGAATATTGTGCTGTTGAAATTAATCTCTCAAACGACGTCGTGTGTCTTATATGCGTTTATCGATCACCTGACCAGAATGTTGATATGTTCATCTCGCTGATGTACGAATTGATTCATAACCTTTTTGATAAATATTCCAAAATCATAGTTTGCGGCGATTTTAATATGCACTTTGATAAGCAATCGAAACCATCCATTGAATTCAATTTGAAAATGCAGTCTTTTGGTTTAACTCATACTATACATGAACCTACTCGTTTTTCGCATCAATCTTCTTCATGCATTGATAATTTCTTCACCAATTTAAAAGACTTTGATTCGCGTGTTGTAAATACCACTCTTTCAGACCATCGAGGCATAATATTAAATTTTTGTAATGTTTCAACTTTTAAATCTACCTTTATCTTACACAAACGTTATTTTGATGAATCAAATAAATTGATTTTCAAATGCCTTTTGGAGAAGGAATCATGGACCTTGCTTAACAAGTCCAAATACTCAAATACAATGTTCGACAACTTTATTTCTACATTTTTTATTCAACTTCAATCAAGCTTTTCCTCTCATTAAGAAAACCGTTTGCCCAAAAAATAATACTTCAACTCCTTGGCTAACTAAAGGGTTGAGAATTTCACTTAAAAGATTAGCATTTCTTGAGAGATTATCGGTACATAATGATAACATGGCTTTTATAATTTATTTTTTGAAATATAGGGCAAATTTAAATGATCTAATCAATTTAGCGAAAATCAAATTCAACGAAAACTTGATTTTTAATTCAGCAAATAAACAGAAAACAATTTGGTCCTTAATTAACTCGGAAATCAACACGAAAACTAAATCTTCACAGATTGATTGTCTTACAATTAACGGCGACAAGATTATTGATAAGGTAGTCATATCTAATAAATTTAATCACTTTTTTGTCACCGAAGCGTCTAAATTAACAAGCGCAATCAACTCGATTACCATTAGTTCGACTAAAACTCTATTAGTGCAGTACGGAGCGTTTTAGGTCTGAATTTTTTTACTGTGCTCCGAATTGAATGAAATTCTGGAATTAGGTTCATCTTACCCTCAAGTTCAAAAGTGAAAACATTTCGGGTTGCGCCATCACCCCCCCGGGGGGATGACCCCCCTTCTCAATTGTGCAATCACATTTTTTTTTCAAAATAACACCGGAAATCGATAGAAGAACCAATTATAAGATAAAAATGTCTCTTATAGTTTTTCAAAAAAACTAATACTTTTCAAGTTACTGGCCACTAAAGATTAACGTATTTCTGGCGTTTTTCTTCGTTTTTTTGCAAATATCTCCTAAAATATACATTTTAACAAAAATCATGTAATGAACAAAATAATGTCAATAAAAATCTTAATAAATCGGTATTACATAAAGTGTTCTAGGAAAAATATTAAGCAAGATTTGAAAGAGCAAAGTCGTTTTTTATTTCGTTCAAGATTTAATTGTTGTATTTAAAGCCATCTAGTGTCGAGGTTTTACATTTTATGCATTTCTGTGAAATTGGGTTTTATAGTGCTCAACATAAGCTTTAAAATGAGTGCTGTTACAAGTTTTTTGCGCGTAAAATGAGTGAGCTATCATGCAAATAAGAAGCATATACGAAGTTTTTTTCTTTTAAATCATGTGTTTTAATGAGCGCCATTTCCACCAGAATTAAAGTAATTCACATTCCATCTAGAATTCACTTCATTATAGACCCCTTGATGGATTCTAGCAGATTCACTACTTTAGTACAAACTATTTTCAGAAAACTCACGATTTTATAAAAACTTTTTTTTCCAATTTGCGCGGCCGCGCAGTCTTTAAACATTCATAACTCTGTCAATATTTGTGTAAAAGAAAAATATCAAAAAACAATAATAAGCCAGAAAGATCCTTTTGATTTTTATCTATATGCTTTTATACGTATCTTTTATTCTTTGTGAGATATAATGAAAATAACTTCGATTTTTAAAAAAAATTGAAAAAACAAGTTTTTATAAAATCGTGAGTTTTCTGAAAATAGTTTGTACTAAAGTAGTGAATCTGCTAGAATCCATCAAGGGGTCTATAATAAAGTGAATTCTAGATGGAATGTGAATTACTTTAATTCTGGTGGAAATGGCGCTCTATAAACCACATGATTTAAAAGAAAAAAACTTTGTATATGCTTCTTATTTGTATGATAGCTCACTCATTTTACACGCAAAAAACTTGTAACAGCACTCATTTTAAAGCTTTTGTTGAGCACTATAAAACCCAATTTCACCGAAATGCATAAAATGTAAAACCTCGACACTAGATGGCTGTAAATACAACAATTAAATCTTGAACGAAATAAAAAACGAATTGCTCTTTCAAATCTTGCTTAATATTTCTCCTAGAACACTTTATGTAATACCAATTTATTAAGATTTTTATTGACATTATTTTGTTCATTACATGATTTTCGTTAAAATGTATATTTTAGAAGATATTTGCAAAAGAACGAAGAAAAACGTCAGAAATACAATAATCTTTAGTGGCCAGTAACTTGAAAAGTATTAATTTTTTTTGAAAAACTATAAAAGGCATTTTTATCTTATAATTGGTTCTTCTATCGATTTCCGATGTTATTTTGAAAAAATGTAATTACACAATTGAGAAGGGGTGTCATCCCCCCGGGGGGTGATGGCGCAACCCGAATTGTTTTCACTTTTGAACTTGAGGGTAAGATGAACCTAACTCCAAAATTTCATTCAATTCGGAGCACAGTAAAAAAATACCCTTTTTTCCTCTCCGTTTACTGCACTATATCCGCGCGAAATAATTCTACATTCGTTCTTTATCCTGTAAATTTAGAAGAACTAAAGCAAACCTTTCTATCGATAAAAGTTACTAGTTCAGCGGGTCCGGATCAGATACCTAGTCTTATTCTTAAAGAATTCTATCCCTTGTTCATAGATTAATTTATGTTATGTTTAAATAAATGCTTCGATGAAGGAATATTTCCATCCCACCTCAAGCATTCAAAGATTTTTCCACGTCATAAGAAAAATAATAAAGACGATACAAATAATTACCGTCCCATTTCCCTTTTGAACTCTTTCGATAAAATAATTGAAAAAATCTTGCATACTAGATTAACGTCTTTTCTCAATAAATATAATATTTTGTTCAAGAATCAGCATGGTTTCCGAAAGAACCATTCTACTTCCCACTCAATTTATAATTTAGTTCATAACATCATTGACTCCTTCGAAGAAGCCACATATTGTACTGCGATATTTTGCGATCAGTCCAAAGCTTTTGATAGTATTTCTCATCAAAGACTTCTTGACAAATTAGAAAATTGTGGTATTCGCGGACGTTCGCTCAAACTATTTGAATCTTACCTGTCTAATCGAACACAAAGCGTTTACTTAAATAACGATCTCGAGCAAATAATTTCGGATAAATTGACAAGTACATTGGGCGTGCCCCAAGGATCAATTTTAGGGCCTCTCTTATTTCTCATATATATTAATGATTTACCTCATTGTACAAATCTTTGTGATTTTATTCTTTTTGCTGATGATACCAGCGTTATCATCAAGGCCAAATCTCTTAATGAATTACAACATAAATTATGTCAGAAATAACGCAATGGTTTTGTGAAAATAATCTAGTCCTCAATAATGATAAGACCCAAATCATATCTTTTTGTACAAAAAATCGTTTATCTAATCATATTACTTCTTTAACCATCAATAATTCAGCATATAATTTTTCGCAAGTATCAAAGTTTCTTGGTATCCATATTAATAATAATTTAAAGTGGTCTGATCATATCTCTATCTCACTATCACCAACTTTATCCAGAACATGTTGCGCACCCTAAAACCCAAACTTGGTTTAAATTGCTTACTTTCAGTTTATTATAGCAACTTTTATTCTCACGTTTCATACGGCATTCAATTCTGGGGTTTTTCATCCGAACTAATTAAAATATTTAAGCTTTAGAAAAGAGCCATTCGAATAATTTTTTCTTTGCCCAGTCAAGCCACCTGCAGACCCATATTTAAAAAATACAATATTCTAACTGTCCCATGCTTTTTTCTGCTGGTAACATTAACTTTCATCAAAAACAATTCGAAACATTTTGATATGGCTTTGTCCTCCTCAAATTATAATACTAGACACCAACTTATTAAGGCGCGTACATATAAATTAGCCAGCTCTTTCAATACGATCGACCGTCTAGGTATTCAGCTTATGAATAAACTTCCACTCAATATCCGAAACTTAGACAGCAAAAAATTTTATGCTTTTCTAGTTAAACTTTTTAAAGACTCAGCTTTTTATGACATTACTGAATTTTTTCAATTTGATTTCAATAACTATTTTCTTGCATAATCCTTATCCTGTATCTATGTAGTCTGACCATTTGATCGCCTGTACAACCATTTTTTTTTCATTTTTTTTATTGCTATTTTATTAATTTAAATTTATTACGGTTTTAAATGAGTATAACTTTCAACCTTGTGCAAGAATTTTGAGCTTGACTAGACTTTAATATGATGAACTTGATGATGAACATTGTATTTAATGCATTGCATTTCGAATGCTTTTTTTCAGCTCTTTTTTTCAGAAGCGAAATTCGTGCAGCTGCTATGATTATTATAATATTACTATCCTTTTAATATTAACTATGAATAAGCTTGACAAGAGCCTGAAATAATATCTATTATTATTGATTACGGCTTGCTTATGAATAAATAAATAAATAAATAAAATATATAAAAATAAGTCGGGTTTTCCTTCATGACGAAATAACTCCAGAACGCACGAACCGATTATGACAATTTTGCATTCGTTGGAAAGGTCTCGGGCTCCGCAAGGTTTATAGCTAAGAAAATTAGTGGTACATGGCATCGTGCCCTAATGCAAATTGCTGGAACTTCACGCACCATAATTAAAAATTTGAGTAATAGAAATAATCAACAATTGTTTTAAATAATTATTTTAAATAGATTATCTTCTATATATATATAAAAATAAGTCGGGTTTTCCTTTCTGACGAAATAACTCCAGAACGCACGAACCGATTTCGACAATTTTGCATTCGTTGGAAAGGTCTCGGGCTCCGCAAGGTTTATAGCTAAGAAAATTAGTGGTGTATGGCATCGTGCCTTAATGCAAATTGCTGGAACTTCACGCACCGTAATTAAAAATTTGAATAATGACATTAGTGAGAACTATCAGAATTATGCTTGGTTAAGTCAACGAACAATTCTTGCCACAAAGAATAATGATGTACACGCACTGAATTTCACCATTCAATAAAAAATTGCTGGCGATTTGGTGACATACCAATGATTCCGACTGGTTTTCCGTTTGACTTCAAACGATTGCAATTTTCAGTTTGCCTTGCGTTCGCAATGACAACTAACAAGTCGCAAGACCAATTGCTTAGTGTTTGCGGGATAAATTTCAAATAGATAGTTTTTCACATGGGCAGTTATACGTTGCCTGTTCACAAGTTGGAAAACCATCCGCTTTTTTGTGTTAACGCCAGACCAAAAAACAAAAAATGTGGTTTACCAAAGAGCACTTCAATGAAACGGATAATTTGCGGATTCCTTTTCATTTACTTTGAGAAGTTCAACTAAAAAACACTTAATTTTTGTAATCGAAATAAATTCATTACTGTTGTGTAATAAAATCAAAATTTTTCTTTTCAAATATAAAACAAACAAAAAATTTCGTCATCTTTCTCACGAAGCCATCTGGTGGCGAAACAGAGTTCGTCGGGTTTGCTAGTAATAATATAAATATATATGGAGTTTTGTGCAAAATATGTTTGCGATTGAAAATAATTGAGTACTTCGGTGAAAAATGGTTTGATGTTTTACCATATGAATCATTAACAACATAATAACCAACTTATTATAAATGCGAAGCGCTATAGTATTTTATTGGAAAGTATAGACAAATGTGTCTATATACAAGTAAAAGTATTGGAAAGTGTCTACAAATGTAATTATCCTTGTGAAAAACATTGTACTGCCAATCCTGGGTTTGCACTTAAAAGATTCATTGATAGCAAGAGCTCAATCTTGTTTGAATATTATTTCATTCAGTTTTATTTATATTTTAATTGACTTTGCACATTTGTAGATATAACAAAAATTTGCGCGCTTTTTATAATGTGAAAAACAACATTCGATTGTTAAGAAAATCTAGAGCACAAAAACTATGTGATAAGATAGTAAAACTTTTATAATCAACATAAAAATTATTTTTAACAATTCAATCAGATAATTAAACCAATAAAATTTCAAATTCGCAATCTTATCCAAAAATGGACTTAAAAGTTTCCCAATAAATGTCATTGAAGTATATAATATAATATTAATCTTATTTCTTCATTTTAGATAATAAAAAGGAGGCTGTACAAACATTTGTAAAAACAATAACAACTCATGTCAAGACATCTCGTGTTACTCTGGTGAATCCTTGCGATATGTGCGACTGCTGACGATATTAGAATATTTGTAAAAAAATGTCATTTTTCATTATTATTTATTTTATTTTTAATAAAGTTATTTTAAAAAGTTTTTTTATAATGATTATAATTATTCTTCAATGCAAAGTATTTGAATAATATACGTTTTTTTTAATTAAATAAAAATAGGTTGCGGACTTTTTTCAAAATTAAAAACAATGTTTTCATGGAACTAACATGTACAAACTTTTTTCGGCAATGCATTGCCCAATTTGATCAATAACCATTTGCCAGCGTCGCAATAAAACGATCATAAACTTCTGGTTTTAATTTGCAAGAATATGAACCAGGCACGATTTGATATTATCATAACTATTGAAATCTTACCATTCAAGGAGTCCTGTTAAGACCGACACAAAAAGTAATCAGATGGTGAAAAGTCAGGATTATATGGTGGATATGACACGACACAGTTACTACGCTTCAATCAATTTTAATCAATCATTAAAAAATGTGTGTTGCCATGCATTGTATAATACATATTCCATACATAAAAATATTAAGACAGTCATATAAAAACTCAATGCAAAAAGAATCGACCTTGTTACAAATTTTCAAAGAAATATATAATAGAATTATGCAAAAGTGACATCAAAATATGCTGCTTATGTTAAAAAAAGTAAACTAGTTGGTATTGGTATTTAGCCTTGAGACTCCTTTACATGAACTTCCCGATATGTGTAAATAATCGACTTAATCAATAAGAAATATATTAATTTATGAGTGATTAAAAGTATTTCGAGTGGATTTATTACACATAATTGAAAATGAACGAACGAATGCATTAACTCGGAGTATTCTCTTAAAGCAAATTTTCACAAATTAATAATTTTTATACTTGAACCAGTTTCCGTAGGACTTTAATGGTTTAGTATGTTCATTAAGATCAAGTACTCTATTGTTATACCAAGTAAACCGTCTAATTTTCATTTTAGCTAACGTCAGCAAATCTATACTCATTTTCTCAAACTTTGATGAATTTTTAAAATTCAATTACTTGTCATAAAGCCGTAATATTGCAGTAAGTCATATAAGACCATGATATATATAGCTAAAATAAGTTCCATAAAAATCGGCTTAATTTTTTTTTTCAAGAGTTAATTACAAGAAAACGACTTGGTAGATTTTCACCTAAAGCTAATCAGCATCAATCCCAACTAATATCTTTCGGACAGTTTTTGATTTCTTAAAATCGATTTGGTAGAATGAGCTTAAATGTGGACGAAAAGTTTAACACTTTTTTTTTATAAAGAAACGGCTTGGCAGATCGTCGCACAAATGATAGTCCTCATCGAGATACATCAAATGGCATTTAAATTTCTGCAATCGGTTCAGGCGTTTTTGAGAAAATGTCGATGAAAGGTCTAATTTTGACAAATACGAAAAAAACAATATCAATTTTTGCAAACTTTGACTAATTTTAAAAGTTAAACCAGTTGTCGTAGGGCCGTAATATTTAAGTATGATCTAGAAGACTACGGTATCTACCGTCAAAAAATCGTCGAAAACATTTTTTTTAACACTTTATTACAAGAAAACGGCCCGGCCGATCTTCACCAGAAACTAATCAGCACGATTCCCAACCAATATCTTTCAAACGGTTTTTGAATTTTCAAATTCGATTTAGAATTGCGGGCTAAAACGTGCACGAAAAAGTTTTCACTTTTCTGCTATTTATTAAGAAACGTCTCGGCCGATCGTCGCGCAAAACTAACAAACGATAGTGCTCATCGAGATACATCGAATGGCTTTTGGGAATATGTCTAGCCGTTTTCGAAAAAACGTCGATTTACGGCAAAAAATCTGTTCACATACACGCACACACACACATACTTTTTCCAAATTTGGTCTCATTCGATTCAGAATGGCTGGAAACGCCAAGAAAATATAAAAGTAGCGAATCGGATTTTTTGATGAAAACATAAACTTATCCTTCGGGAAGTTAAAAAACAATATTTAGCGGTAAAAAATGACCATTAGATATATACTCACATCAAATTATCAGATATTTGATAAAGTTCTTAAAAATGAGTATTAATTTTGTTACAATTTTGTTGGGTTCCGTACCAATTTTTTAATTTTTAAAGTTCACTTATACGGTTCAAGCCAATTTAAAAATTTTCAGGAAAAAAAAATTCAAAATTTTCAGAAATTATTTTTTTTTAATTTTCAAAAATATGCAAGGTTTTATACTTCAAATATGAATTTACAATTCAGTTTGAAAATATATATCTTTCAAATGCGTTATTCTAATCGTAAGAAATATATCCACAGATGGAAACTTGCTAATGTAAACTTTCTCAAGTATTTTGAGTGATAAGATCGTCGCTGTATATTTTATGAACGATAAAATTTATAGTGATTATAATTATCTAATAGCATATGTTTAAAATAATCATTATTAATTATTGGTCAATATTTATGGTATACTGATTTTGTTCCTCAGATATTTAATTCAGGAACGGGAAGTTCCAACAATTTTGCCATACACCTCTAGTTTTCTTCTGTTTAGATATTTTATTATTCGGTTTCTAATTCCTTTTGTGCCTAAAGCTGATAACAAATTTGCAATTGTTTTTCAAAATATACAAAAACTTAATAATTAATAAACTAAATCAATCAGAAGTAGTTATAGATAAATATAAACCCCAAATATTATGTTTTGTTGAACACTGGTTAAAAAGGTCGGATCTTGAATTAATTAAAATTAAAGGTTATAATTTATCTTCTCATTTCTGTTGACCTCAATATGGCCACGGAGGTGTGTGCAGTTTTGTAAGTGATTTAATTCGTTCTAAACCCGTCTATACTAATACTCTTCAAGTAGAAAAACTTTTTGAATATTGCGTTGTTGAAATTAATCTTTCAAATGACGTCGTGTGTCTTATATGCGTTTATCGATCACCTGACCAGAATATTGATATGTTGATCTCGCTGATGTATGAATTGATTCATAACCTTATTAATAAATATTCCAAAATCATTGTTTGCGGCGATTTTAATGTACATTTTGATAAGCAATCGAAACCATCCATTGAATTCAATTTGAATATGCAATCTTTTGGTTTAACTCGTACCATACATGAACCTACTCGTTCTTCGCATCAATCTTCTTCTTGCATTGATAATTTCTTCACCACTTTAAAAGACTTTTATTCGCGTGCTATAAATACCACTCTTCCAGACCATCGAGGCATAATATTAAATTTTTGTAATTTTTTAACTTCTAAATCTTCCTTATCTTACACAAACGATATTTTGATGAATCAAATAAATTGATTTTCAAATGTCTTGGAAAAGGAATCATGGACCTTACTTAACAAGTCCGAAGACTCAAATACAATGTTCGACAACTTTATTTCTACATTTTTATTAAACTTCAATCAAGCTTTTCCTCTCACTAAGAAAACCGTTTGCCAAAAAAATAATACTGCAACTCCTTGCCTAAGTAAAGGGTTGAGAATTTCACTTCAAATTATAGCATTTCTTGAGAGATTATCGGTACATAATGATAACATGACTTTTATAATTTATTTTTTCAAATATAGAGCAACTTTAAATGATCTAATCAATTTAGCGAAGATCAAATTCAACGACAACTTGATTTTTAATTCAGCAAATAAACAGAAAACAATTTGGTCCTTAATTAAATCGGAAATTAATACGAAAACTAAATCTTCACAGATTGATTGTCTTACAATTAACGGCGACAAGATTATTGATAAAGTAGTCATATCTGATAAATTTAATCACTTTTTTATCACCGAAGCGTCTAAATTAATAAGCGCAATCAACTCGATCACCACTAGTTCGACTAAATCTCTATCTGCGCGAAATAATTCTACATTCGTTCTTTATATCCTGTAAATTTAAAAGAACTAAAGCAAACCTTTCTATTGATAAAAGTTACTAGTTCAGCGGGTCCGGATCAGATACCTAGTCTTATTCTTAAAGAATTCTAGCCCTTTTTCGTATATGAATTTATGTTATGTTTAAATGAATGCTTCGATAAAGAAATATTTCCATCCCACCTCAAGCATTCAAAAAAATTTTCACTTCATAAGAAAAATAATAAAGACGATATAAATAATTACCGTCCCATTTCCCTTTTGAACTCTTCCGATAAAATAATTGAAAAAATCTTGCATATTAGATTGACGTCTTTTCTCAATAAATATAATATTTTGTTCAAGAATCAGCATGGTTTCCGGAAGAACCATTCTACTTCCCACTCAATTTATAATTTAGTTCAAAACATCGTTGACTCCTTCGAAGAAGACACATATTGTACTGCAATATTTTGCGATCTGTCTAAAGCTTTTGATAGTATTTCTCATCAAAGACTTCTTGACAAATTAGAAAATTGTGGTATTCGCGGACGTTCGCTTGAACTATGAATTCGCTTAAACTTGAATCTTACTTCGTCTAATCGAACACAAAGCGTTTACTTAAATAATGATCACGAGCAAATAATTTCGGATAAATTGACAAGTACATTGGGTGTATTAATGATTTACCCCATTGTACAAATCTTTGTGATTTTAATTTTTTTTGCGGATGACACCAGCGTAATCATCAAGGCCAAATCTCTTAATGAATTACAACATAAATTAAGTGTGGTTATGTCAGAAATAACAAAATGGTTTTGTGAAAATAATCTAGTCCTAAATAATGATAAGACCCAAATCACATCTTTATGTACAAAAAATCGTTTATCAATAATATTACTTCTTCAGTTTATTATAGAAACTTTTATTCTCATGTTTTCTGCGGCATCCAATTCTAGGGTTTTTCATCCGAACTAAATAAAATATTTAAGCTGCAGAAAAGAGCTATTCGAATAATTTTTTCCTTGCCCAGTAAAGGCTTCTGCAGACCTATATTTAAAAAACACAATATTCTAACTGTCCCATGCATTTTTCTGCTGGTAACATTATCTTTCATCAAAAACAATTCGAAACTTTTTAATATGG